GCCGATCTCTATAAAGTGAAGAGTCCCATATGGGATATGTAAGTGTTCATACTATACTGGATAATTTTTCGTGTCCGCACGTGTGAACATAGCCTAAAAAAAATGTGATTCTGCACCGGTGGAAGGTAAGTAACTATAATAAGCACTGCGCCACCGGACAACAAACTCCTTTTTTTTGGACGGAGCTATTGGGATTCTCGGGAAACAAAAGATATAACTGTTTCCCTTAGGGCTAGACTAAGGGAAAAAGGAAGTAAAGTACATGAAGTCCCTCATTTTCCTCAGCTGAAGGATAGCAAAGCGCACCGAATACGCAAGCGCGTGAAAATCGCAGCGCGCAAGGAGAGGCAAGACACGAGAAAAGAGATAAAATTCTTCATGTTCATGCGCATGAAAATGAGGAATTTTCGTGCGGCGTTTTAGTTTTCACGGTTTAATATTGCCCATACCATGCAAAGAGAGGTCTTTAGGAAGCATAATAACAACGTTCGCACCGCTAACATTCGTGTAATTGCAACACGCCAACTACACGAATGTTAGCGGTGCGAACGACTTCGTTCATGATAAAATCCACACCGGAAAGAAACCTTGTCTAGCAGGGGTTGGGTGGGGAAGTGGACGGGTTAGTTGGAGCCTGAGCCAGCAATTTGTGCTGTCCATCAGCTCCTACACCTGTATGATGTACATAAGCAGGGGCATATCAAGGAGATATCGTGTTTTCGTCGAGTTAATAAGACATTTAACACTTATTTCTTTCTCATGTATAAGCTACAACATACCTTTCCAAGCACCAGACCTAAGAGCCTATAAAATAACAGAATGTAATGAGAACTGTCAGTCAAAAAGGAGATAGCTAAATCTACTGTAAGTTCTCATGAGCATGCATCCTGTGGAAGAAGTGGAAAATTATATGATGCATGTAGGAAAATTATATGTTACCTACTGTCCTACAATTTTTCAGTGCTGTCAGCACCAAACATTTCTTACAAACAAACCATCTATTTTTTTAAAGTAAAATTTCTTATGTTGCCATCGAATATTTTATTTTAAGGAACCGAGAAGATAGATGTCTGTCTCCCTAAAACAAAGTAAAATGTGCAACGAATGTTCATGTATGTATTTACTGTACCTCAGTGAAATTCCGCATTTGCTTAAGAACTGCATTTACATCATCCATAACCTAGTAAATAATGTTTAAAAATCAAAACTATTAGTGCTGGTCATTGCAAATCTAATCAATGTACACATATGTGCTATGCTTAAATTGCTCTAAAGTCACATAATTTGTTGCACTAAATTACATGTATTTGCGGAACTCTTGTGCGTGAGCACCATGAGTAAGAAAATTGTGTTAGCTTTGTATCCGAAAAAATTTGGTAGTCACGTGAACGTACGTCCGCCGTCTGGCTTCCGTCCGCACAACAGGGAAACCAATGTGAGACGTCACTTTTCTAGCTAGTATGAGAGCCTGTAACCTGTGTTTAACTTGGTAATATATACATCCATATTATGGTCATTTGACAGCTGACAAAACAGGGTATAACTATATCTGCTGGACAGAATCACGTGACTGTATCGCGAGCTCAGGTGTCAACCCAATAAGGTCAATAACCAGAGTTTAAGACCATCAATTGATGTGACACAACTCATGTTGATTTTGAAGTTGACTACTGCATACGTTGTTTAAATGTCAGTAACTGTCAACAACAGTCCTATTCAGGCCTGTGATCACCCGCACAATCATATTCCATCCACTTATGAACTTATTGTTTCGGAAACTCTTCTCCACTGCATATAAAGCACACTGAAGATAAGGTCAAGTTAAGGCAAGTCAGATAATAATCATGTTTAATTAATTTTATTATGAGGTTTTAATATTGTTCTTTGTAAAAGATAATTAAAGTAGTTTTGGACATGGAACAAATCTTTTCAGAAAAATGTACTGAGTTTTATTCCCACATACACCAGCAACTTACATTCTTGCCATCTACATTGACTGGTTTATTGGAACGGTTTCTGAGAGCCACATGAAGAACTGCTCGGTCCTGAAAGGTGGTTAATCAGTTTAACAGGATAATTAGAACAATATCTTTCTTACTATGCTCCTCTACCAGGACGCCTGGAAAAACCTTTTAGTTATTACATGAAATTTTGGCAACACTAAAAATCAGCAATTTTGAATTATTTAGCAGCGCTTTAATAAAGCAATTTTTCATAAATTTTGGAACATAAGTCACTTAATTTTTGCGATTCATCCATTTCAGTTATCAAGCTGAAATGACTGAAATGTGCACCAGACACGTCATAATCGACTATATCAAATAGCAAACATGTGTGAAAACTGACCAGATGGAAGAATTTCATATTGTACTTACTTTAATTTAGCGACAATTTAAATTTAGCGACACTTAATTTTGGTGCTAAATTTGCTGAATTAAAGTGTCACCAAAATTTCATGTAATGAGGTACATGTAAATGTGGGTAAGAAGAAAGCATACCATTGTTGTATTAATGTTTTTCTACTACATGCTTTAAAAGCTTTCGCTGATAATCAGCAATGGGAAATGACCATTACTCAGCAATGAAAAGATAATAATTAAAACTACAACATACTTTAGTTGAGATTATACAAAGTTTTAAACAAACCTCAGTAAAATTAATTTTCTCTCCGGAGAACATCTTATCCCGAGCACTTTCAATACCCCTTGCTTTGGCCTACCAAAAAAAAGAAAAACAAACTTCTTTGTCATCTCTTAATTCGAATAAAATGTTTAACAGATAATCACTTAAAACAAACCAGATTCATGAGGTGTTTCATGGTCTCCTCTGTAATGATGTTTTTTGAATAGTCCACAAGAATAGTGCCATCCGGAGTTTCAATCTGTGTGCTATGGAAAAAAATATTGAAGCTCATTTACTTCATACAGTTGTCGTTCATGTGGCCATAAGACTCAAATTAACAGATAGTAAGGCACCTGGACTGCTCATTGACACCAAACTTTTGCTCCTGGATTTCACAGGTTCAAATATTAGCACTGGGCTCACTTCAGGTTTTTGTTTTCAGGTTGATTTTTGTTACTCTTGCTTGAGAGAGTAAAAAGTCTTATCAGTGAGAGTCTGTGCAAGTGTCGTTCCTTCCTCTTAATTAACCCCATCCTACTCCCTTTCATTAGCTCATCTTCTCAACTATTCAAAAAGGGACTGCTGGTGAACTGTCTTCTGTTCTTGGGCGTTTGTTTGTTTTTTGAAAGTGTGCTCCCTAGTCTTTAGTGAATAGACTGACAATATCTTTTCCTGTTACTTTTCCTTTGGGAGTCATGTTGAAAAAATAATACAAAGAAATATTATTGTTTGAACAATATAATTTACATAAGAAAAGGAAAAAAAGGTTGTTCATAATTAGGCCAAACACTTCGGGCTATAGGTATATTATTCATAGACATAAACTTAACTTGATAATAAAGAATGATATTGATGAATGAAATAAACATGAAAAAGTGAACAAGGCACGTTATTTTCGATACTTGTGGAATTTTTTTAGTAACATAAAAGGAAAGAATGTTAAAATCGAATAAACTGTCTACTTCACCTAATCAATCTTTATAAGAGCTTGTAAGCTTTAAAATGTTCTGAAAGTTGGGTCACGAAATTTACTTTGACGTTACAAAACAACTAAAACTAGCAGCTGTTAGCTCGACCTCAGTTAAACATCCCATTAAAAGTATTTAAAAGCACTTTCAGGTTGAAAGAGACGAAGGAAACTACAACTAAATCCACTGTTAGGGAAACTCGGAAAATAATTAAGCTTTCTTATGCATTGGTGAACATGCTAAAATTTAAGCTGTACCTGAATTTGTCGAATCTGTGCGCGTCGCTCTCAAAGAGACTCCGCATATGGAGTTTCGAGGCTGACTCATAATGTTTTTGCAAGGCAGAAAACTCTGCAGAGGTTTTAAGAGACGAAGCCATGTCTTAGTTTGAAATTCCGCAAAGCAATATCACTGCTTAGATCACTGCTCTGATCATCAAAATAGCGAAGTCATGACAGGAGCACAAGACTGTCACGTAAGGTCCACGTAATGTCCACCCGAGTGAAGGTTGACAGCGTGATTCACAGTGGGAGACTGGGCCGGGTAACGTGAACCTATCTCATGCCAAAATTATGGGATACAACCCTAAAAAATACCATAGTTTCATAAGACAAATAATGGGTGTAACGATTTTTATGTAGACATTCCAAAATTAAACCCATAAAATCGTAGCCGTTTTGACATTCACCCACTCCACAGAGTCTTCCCGGCTCGCTTTCCAATCAGGAAACGAAAAGACCCTAAGGAGGAGGCTGTCAGAGGCCAGGCCTTCGATCATTTTATACAGCTCATTTCCTCATGCTCTTCCATGTCTGTTGTTGTTGTTGTTGTTTTCCCATTATGTAGGCCACGTGACTGAGAGTTGCAAACAGTCAAGTATGTCACGTGACTACGAGCTGCCATTTTTGTTTGTTTGGAAGTTTCAATTTTTTCGACGGACACGCGCGGAAACGCTTGCTACGGAGACTAGCCATTACTAGCCCATTACTAGCCAGCGTGGTAAACTCTCCCGATTGAATTATGGCGCGAAAGTTGTAGCGAAAGCAAAAAGAACAACATTTAGGTGTGGTAATGATACCTATAGTTACCGGAGTGATATCATGTCCCCTCTTAGAAGATAAGAACTTTTTAAAGTTCTGTATTTTATAACCAAACTTCACAGAAGACATTGAAAAAAAAATAAAGACAACGAAAAAAAAGAGAAGATTTGTGAATACCGGGGAAAATCCAGGTTGTTATAAGTGCGCTAAACAGTATCCAGAGGCAAATGGCAACAAGGATCGAAAATTCAGCTTGGGCGACCAAAAGATGACAGATCACAATGACAAGAAATAACTGAATAATTCTGATATTTCAATTTAAAGAGCCTTTAATTTACTTTTTTTCGTTAGCAACAAAGACATTCTTTAGCTATTCAGTTATTGTCACGACGGCCTCTACACAAGAAATCCTCTTGTTGCTTGCTTTATCTCTCAGATCTGCCTGAACCTTGTACGTGCCCTAAAATACGTAACACAAAAGGATAGCAAATAAGGTGTCTGAGGGCTGAAGTCAAATGTGTCATAACATACGTCAAACACATAATTATCCTCTCACTGTGTAGTAACCTCTTACACTCATAACGAATATAAAATGTTGAAGCCTGTATGTAGAAAAAATATTATATATATATATATATATATATATATATATATATATCTTGTTATGTACATTTATTTTATGTCTATCTATATCAAAATACTCGTATCTGATTTAAAGCAAACAGGTACCGCAGAACGAGAAAATTAAAAACTAGAACTAAGCAGAGAATTGGACATGGAGTTATTGATAGGGCTAGGCCGTTCGAGTTAGCTTCTGTTACAATTTTTTCTTTTTCTTTTTCTTTTTTTTTTCACTTTTCCCTTCCCCGTTTTAATATATAGAGATCTTCAGATTTTAAGACGAGGACTACTACGAGAACGTTATTTTCCCAATACTGAGTAGCGCGAGCGTGCGAACCAACGTCATTTTCGCGGGAAAATGTGAACGTGATAGCCATCGTCATTCTATGTCGTAGTGGCGAAAACGAGTTATCAAATGTTAATAGGAATTTTATCATTTAGCGATCGGGAGAGGGCTTTAACACCTTCAACGGAAATAAGCTAACTGACTTTTGTGGTGAAAAAAAGTTACAATGATGCTTTCCGAAGTCCCTATTTTTAGAGAATAGGCGTGAAAACGTAAAATTAATTAAATGACGTCCTCGTCGTTCTCCAATCTAAAGCTCTCTAACGTCATCCTGCTGAGGGAGTGATTTAGTGTGTGTATTCATTGTATAGATACTTACACTAGTCAAAAATGAAGGAATATTGACGTCTGGCAAAACGTGCTCCTGTTTTCTCACGATGTACTCTTTTGGCGACCGGAGAGGGCATCTTTCTCCTTCTAACAAGGTAATTAATTGATTGCATCCGATGTCATGAGTACTGTAAAGAAACGCACGCAATTATTATTACTCACAGGAAAATTGGTAACAATTTTAAAGGAAAAATGTTTTAAATATATTTTTCTCCACAAATCCATTAATAGGTGACCCCTTTTGTGAATCATCAATTTAGGGATTTTAAAAGGTAGCAACAGAGAAAAATTGTAGTTTTCTTTTTAACCATCAATCATTATGGAGTTCTTAAGAACTCGTGTTTAATCGTTCGAACAGCATGTAAGGGAATCACAGTACGCCTTGGATTCTGGATTTTTTTCAGTGGAGCTTGGATTCTGGATTCCAATCGATAGTGGGATTCCTGATTCCTTAAGCTGTATTCCGGATTCCAAAGCCCAGGATTTCGGATTCCACAAGCAAAGTTTTCCGGATTACGGATTCCAGAAACAAAAATTCCCCTAATCGCTGATTTCGGAATTTGCTTCGCTGACATGGGATTAAATCGTGTCCGTGCGTTCATGATCAAGATCAAACGGGAGTAGGTGAAAGTGTTGATTTTTTAGAAAAAAAAAATTCTGAACAAGGGAGAGAACCAACAATCAACCCACATATGGCGTCGACCGCAGGATTTGAACCGGAGTCGATTCGTGGGAGGCAAGTGCTCAGTCAAAACCACTGCACCACCTTTGCTTCTAAAAATAACTCTGAATTAACATATACAAGTTACAATTTTTCTATTCCGTCTCTTGTTCGGTGTGAAAATATAACCAACGTCTTTTCTCTCATTTTTTTGTTGTTATTTTGTAACTGATCGATTTAATTTTAATTTACCTACCACTTTCCGAAGCAAGGGATTGGAATCCATATCCCCCACCAGCCCTCTCGCTTCAACGTAACGTCGAGTTTATAGTTAATTCCAACAGCACTCTCTACCTTGAACTTTCCACTGAACGTTACTTTTGCCCCCTTTCGAAGGATCACAGGGTGTGGAGAGAGGCTAATGTCCTTTATTTGTACAGGAGAGCTACCATCTGTTCAAGCAAAACAGGAAACAAATTAACGTTTTGGCAAATAAGGGATGGGTTGGTAAGGTTTGAAGTTGTACTCCCCATTTTGCGAAAGTTTCGCATAATATCCATTTCTAGTAAGCTTTTTGGTTACCCTGGTTGTTTGTGAGGACCTCTGGATCACGATATAAGTGGACCATATCATAATTTTATCTTTCATGCGATGAAAAAAAAAAAACGGACATAAGGGCCCTGTCTTCAAAGATACAAACAGATGAACTTTTTTGTTGGTCAGTTTTGAGGAACATTCTCGGAAGTGGAAACAAGAAAATTAAGCCTGCAGTGAACTAGAAACAATTGCAAAGAAATGTTGAAAATCGTTGGTAAAATTCTTGCTATGATTAACCCTCGCGGAATGAGGAAGTACCTTATTATAGGAAATTAACGTTCTATGACGGAATTGAAGTATTTGAAATTTAAGAATCGAATTAAAAAATAACGCTATGTTCACAAAAGACAAAACTTGCGGTTGGAACAACAGGAACAAATTTAAACGTACTGATACTGAAATGGAAACTTAGTTCGTGGTCGGTACTTTCCCTAAACGAACGAAAGGGGTCAAGCGAAGAAATCTGCCCAATTCGAGGGTTCTTCACAGTTTCCTGAATACTGGTGGATCACCAACCTGATAAAATACTCCTCCTTCTTAATAGGTTTTCATTCTTAGGCGTGTCAAGAATGTCAAATTGTATCGAGAATTTTGGGCAAAAATAATATTAAACGCTTCACTTAATTAATCGCACGACAATTGACGTTTGCCGAAGAAAATTAACGCGATGCTAATTTTTTGAAATTCGCGTAATACCGTTTCATGAAACAGCTTGAAACGTATGTTTCCTATAAATTATAAGCTAATCGTGTTTGGTAAGGTTAGGGTTAGGGCATAAACAAGCAGCAATACTTAATGCAAATTCACACTAACAGGAAATAAAACCCGTGAACTCTTGACGGATCGATTAATGAGTAAAAAAGAAATTAAGATTGACTATAATATGTAAAAAAATATTATTTAGCTTACCACAGTTACTCCATTTCAGAGCATCAACTGAAAAAGCCACAATGACAAGAAGAAAGGCCCGAGTGAAAACCATAATGAAGATTTTTCCCGAAAAACAGAGGTTGAAAGAGCGCGCGTTATATAGTGTAGCTTCTATTCATACACCCGGAATGAAAAAGGGGTATGATAAAGGAAAAAGAAAGGAAAAACACTGTGAGTTAGAAGACAATTCGTTCTTTTCATCGCTTATCTCACCTGAACAAACTATCCTACAATACAAGTTTCCTCAGGGACAAACAAAATACTCGCTTTGTGATTACACCTTCTTTGTAATTACTTTTTACAATATATATTAACATGGAGTATTTTGTTTTTAAGTTTTGCATGATAATGCTTCTCTTTCACATCTGTAGCCCATAAAAACTGCGATACAAAGCAGTAAAAGAATTATAATTTTCTACTTCGATTCATTGAAACAGTTCGTCCTAGTAAATCATTCTTTTGCTACTCACCTTGGCATATGTTCTCAGGTTGTAAGGCCGTTTCTTCCGCTTTAATCTTATGTCCTTGAGAGAGTGCAAAGTTGTTGTCAAATACTATGTAAGGATTAGAATTGTGCAGAGGTTCATTCGACGCGAGGCAAATATCTTTTCACCTTAATTTGATATGCAAAAATTAGACCCTATCATCTTGAGAGGATCCTTCACATTCTTTCATTTATTACTTTTCCTTTTTTACGTTTAATGTTGTTGATGAGCACCTAAAGGTACGGAAAAACGGGCAACAAAAAACGTACAACTTGTTCTGCAACATTGCTGCAAAACGAGATGAATCGCGATGTTGCGCGTTTCACCACCCATGTTCAAACCTGTTAACAACCTGATTTATTGCAAGACAGGTTTGATGTGGGAGGTAAAACTCGCAACATCGCTATTCAACTCGTTTTGCAGCAATGTTGCCAAACAAGTTGCACGTTTTTTGTTGCCCGTAAGTTTCCGTGCCATAATATTCATCTGTGAAGGATGAACTTGTACAATGACTTGGTCCATTTTTGGTCCAGATTTAACACAAATTAGACCACATGCAATTAACAGCTATACCTTTTAATTCCATGAAAACGTTACCGAGTTCTCGTTTTGTTAAAACATTATACAGTCGACCTCTCAACCACGGTCACATTGCGGACAGAAGAAAGTGGCCGTTGTGGAGGTGGTCGTTATAGGGAGGTAGGGGTGTAATATGACTGATTTTTTTAGGGAGAACAAAAAGAAACAAGACCCCCATAGTGGTGCCGGGCTCACTGGTCTGCCGACAGCGCGTTTGAAGCCGGGCTGAAAAGTAATTATGAATTATATATAGATTTAGCCAGGGCAAAAGCGAGGCTCTCTTTAATATTTATAGTTTACTCAAACAAACTATAAAACCGTGTAATGCTAAAGAAACGGTGAAGACAAGGAGAACGGTAAAAAACAACAACAAGAGGTCTAATTAGAATAAAAGCACCTTTGCACGTGCCCAGCACACTTTTTTGTACATTTCTTTGCCGCTGTTTTGCACGACTACAAAGTGAAACTTTCAGAAACTTTCTAGTTACACGTTTTGAGCCCCGTGCAAACGGACGCAACATTGTTGGCCAACTACTCCCAACATTGCGGGATGTTACATGTTGCGTCCGTTTGCACACCCTGTTTCAGGTTGTTGGATGTTGTTACGTGTTGTTGCGCAAAGTTTGAAGCCGGTCAAACTTTTCAGCCAACGACTCCCAATATTTCTTTTGTTCCGTGATCGTTACCACCGAAGCGTAGCTCAACAATGTTGGATCCGTTTGCACAGCTCTTCCAACATTGTTGGGGCCACGCACGTTCATTACGCATGGTTTACAAAGACTTATGGGTTGTATCCTTCCCACGATGCACTGCAGGTCCCAACATTGTTGGGAGTTGTTGCATCCGTTTGCACACCACTGCCAACACGTACGGCGTCTGTTTGCAGGCAGACTTATGGAGGAAATGTTGTATGCATGAGTTCCTGTTCACTTATTTTTTTCACTGCCGCACATTTTCACCTTGGTAGCCGCTAGCATTTCTCCTTTTCTCACCTGCGCTATCACATTTTTAAGTGTTCTTCTAGCCTGTACACAGACGTTGCTTTTTTTAAAATTCTTTTCGATAATCGGCTCGACGAGAGCGAGCGCGAGAAAGAAAAATGAATATTTTCTCCTTCCGCCCACCCCTACCCCCTTAAGCTAGCGGTCATTTAATTCCCCGCTGTTTTTATCGTTATCACGCGCGCTCGGTGGACTTGTAGGAGAAAATAGAAAGTCTGTGAACATGCTAGTTTCTTCCAACGAAATTGGTCTTCCTTTTTTTTTTTTCATTCTTGCACTAGGACTTTCTCTGTTATTCACGTTAATGTAGACATTGAATTTTAGTCTACAGAAAGACTCGGCTTTGTTGTTGTTGTTATTTTTTTTCTCTCTAAAAGCCCAGGTGGTCATGCAATTTACCGCTGAAACGCGCGGGGTGCTTGAAATGCAAAATTTCATTCCATCTTACATGAAGGGGTGGACGTACGTACGTACGGACGGACGGACGATTTTGTCAGAACCAAAATGTCTTGGTTGCATAGATAACCAGACTTTCTTACCCATGGTGCTCTGCTGCGCGCGAGAGAGCTTCGCTAAAAATAGCTAGAAAGAACAAAGGATCGGCTATTTTTTTTTTAACTAGGACTCTACCCAACGCACCCCAAATCCAGCTCTGCCCCATTAACTGGCAAATTTTAGCCTAACAGGTTCTTAAAATCCAGGCTCTTAGTCGCAGGGTTTTACTGTATTGCATTTAAAGCCCATCTGACTAGGGAGAGAATTGCAACAAGTTGAAGCTTTCCCCGTGGGGACCGTGGGAGGGCATTGTTTCTGCAGCTCCCGCTCCCTCATCGAAAACTACAAGTAGGTCATGTGATAATACTCTAAATTTTGTCTTTTTCACGTGCACATGTACGCATAATGTATGAAAAGACATGTGGACAAATTACTCTGAAACCTTCATTAGGAAAACAAAACATACAGGCAAAGATGTCTACTTGGTCCAAAGAGTAGAATAATTATTGAAACTCGGAGGTTTAAAGAGACAAGCATTAAACATAAAGGGGAAATCACCATGGTAACTTCTTTTCTGAGTATAGCCTGCATACAGTAACTGTTTCAGAGACTTTATTACGGAGGCCAGGAAAATGTCCTTTCTCTGGCTGAATTTACAACTGATCTCAACTTTCATGGGGCTGCTGTCCAATAATAACATTTCAGTCAAAGGATCAAAGTAGCTTTATCCAGGTTTATCGAAGTGGAATTTATTTCTCCGATAGTTTGGAGAGCGTCGTCACTGCAACACGTCATTCTCGGCCTCGAAATCCATTTCAGTCGATCGCGCAATCCTCGTCTTTCCCTCTTCTGTCTATCCCTGAATCAGCCTAGTCCCTAGGCATTCTCTCTTCCCCCATTGTCCGCGCGAAATCTGGGCGAGTCTTTCTCGGTGACGTCAAAGCTCACGGTGGGGCCCAGTTTTAACCGAGCCGAGAACGTTTAGGGACTAGGCTGCCTATGAGTGTAGTGTCAACTTGCTTCAAACATCTTGAGATAAACAACTCCAAACACCGAGGTGATTAACCAAGACACACACACCCACCACACCATGTAAGACATGATTCCCTGGAACAACGCAGGGGTAAGTACTCCACGCAAGCTCAGAGCGGCTTCTCTCGTGCTATTGGATATCAGTGAGGAATACTGTATACGGGATACACCAACAGGGTTACTGTTCCAGTCTGAACAACCTAAAAAAACAACTTACATTTAATTAATTCATCCAAAATTACAAACAAGGAATGTGTAAATCTTATTATGCCGGTAGATTTCTTTAACCCCACTGTAATCCACAACCCAGTGATCATTGGAAATACGAACTTATAAAATGGAGCCATTAAGTTTTTAAAAAATGTTCCGACTGAGTGCTTCAAAGAGACGGTCAAGTGTGGTGATGCCTGAATGTAAATCTTTTTACTGTTATAGCCCACTTCAGAAACTCTGGGGAGAATGGGTGCAAGCTTTGGGTGCAGTGATTTCTGGGATTGTCTGGGTGGACAAGCGTTAGTTATGATTGGTCGATGGTATTCAAGGCAACTATTAACCAATCATAAGTACATGTAACGTTTGTCCACCCAAACGACCCCAGAAACCGCAGCGCCGAAAGTTTGTATCCATTCCCCCATTGTTTCTGGAATGGGGATTTGGATGTACAATGCCCTTTAACATTCAGACGGTTCTTTGCTACCAAGAGACGTTTTTAATACAAGATAAATTTCCAAAGCAGAGTAGTTAAGAAAGGTGGAATAGCAGGGTACATTAGTACAAAATAAAGAAAGTAATCAAACACGAAGTAGGCTAGAAGTGGCTTTTGAGAAATTATCTTAAGATCAAGATTTAGTTTCTGATTCAAGAGCACTTAAATCGCCTTATTAATAATAAGCAGAGCCTGCACGTCCTTTACTCTTACTGAACGCTAATGTAGGTAGAGATCTTCCGCGTCCCCTACAGCAACCCGGCCTAGTTTGTTCAGTTGGATCAAGCTTTGCCCAACAGGACGGCAAAAAGAAGAGGACGACGACAAAACTTTTGTTTGTGACAAACGTGACTGGCCTATTACTTATGTGTCTTGTGGTGATCTTCACTTAAGTTAATGTGTTCTGGTCTTGTACAAAAAGACCTGTTTAAAGGAGGGTGAAGTTTGGCGGAAGCGTTTTTCAATCAAAATTATTATCACGATGTCACACAAGGTTTACTATGTTCCTTCCTCTCCCGTCCTGTTGCGTAAGCTCGCTAAAGATACAGTAGACGACGACGACGGCAAAACGCTGCAAGCAGAGCCTCCTTTTAGGTAATGTTACACGAGAAGATTCGCAACGACGATTTCTAGTGCAACACAGCGTTGCAACATTGTTGCGACATTGTTTCGAATAGTTACAACATTGTTCCAACATTGCAAAGACGTGTTGCGCTGAAAACCGTCGTTACGAATCGTCCCGTGTAACATCACTTTGATCGAGGAGGAGAAAGGAGGCTCTACTTGAATCTTTTGTCAATCTTTTGAAGTAATGGCAGCCCCAACTTCAGGACTAGTCAGTCTTATTTCATCTCGTAAAACTGGGTTTTTGTGTCCGACTATCCGTTTATCGACAAACCGCTGTCCATAACAGAGCCCGTTGTACCATGCGGAAAAATATTATAGGCTTAGCAACATGAAATGCATGCTCAAAAAAGATCTTACTCGATTCATGTTGAGTCTTTCTCGAGTACACCAACTTCAACAAAGCGAAAGAAAGGCTGTACTGGGTGGCTGCGCCAGCAAAGGTTATGAAATCGAATCCCAGCCAGGCACCGACACTAAAACAATATATATTTTTCCCAAAGAATATTTTTATGCAGCAAAATTCATTCCTCGGTAACGTTCAAGTTAGTTTGCGCTCACAACGTTAGAGGATTTCTTGTGGCCATAGCCAAAGCCCCTTTTGACGTAGTCATGTTGTAAACCTACCCAATGTACGCAGCATCAATACTGAGAAGAGAAGGAGAATCGTTGGGGCTAGGTATTGAAGAGCAGCCGCTGACAAGTAATAGAACACGCGGGCGACCTGTGTAATACGAACAAATTTAACTTTAATTGAGCGACAAAAAATAAACAAAGTAATTTAAAAACATAGTATTAACTGCCTTATAATTCACAAGTGAAAAAAAGAGACTTCGTTCTGAACAAACTACAACTTCGACTGAAAAACTGTCTGTATCAACTTCAAATATATCATTTCAAAGTCTATTTAAAGTCAAAGAGGCACATATTTGCTGAAGAGAAATGAAAAGAAAGGAAAGAGAAAATGGATTTATCACCTTTCTTTGTAAGTCCACATTTGATATCCTCCCTGTTTCTTTCTTCATCTTTTCAATTCTCTCGTGAGCCATGTCTAGATATGACTGAAGATGTCGCCAAACTAGACTAAGCCGTAAAACGCAAAACAAAAGCAACGAGCTGAAGCGTAGGTTATTGTACCCTTTCTCTGTTAATCTGAAATCAAATATTACAACGGGAATCAGTGATAAACACTGCGCATGTCAAGTGCCTAGTGGCCTCCTTAAAAGGCAGCGCATTCTGTACAAGGGTACTTTGCTAGCCTGAGAAAACAGTCCATATTTCGCGACGCCACCACTAGTTTCTCGCCAAAATGACGTCTGAGGAACAAACGAAGAAATTCCATACTGATGACGTGAAACTTCCCAGATCAGGAAAGGGCTTTGTATTGGTTGTAGCTAGTTGCCCTCACAGCACAACCAATCAGAAGCAATATCAAGATCAGGGAAGTAACACGTCATCAGTATGGAATTTTTCCGCTCGATCGTCAGATTCCATTTCGCGGGGAAAACTGTGGGTGGCGTCGCAATATGTGGGCTGTGTTGTTGGGTTATAATTTGCGCGTTTCACGAATACGTAGAGGGTGGCATCATTCCAAAAATACATTTTGAAGTCTACAAAAAGAAAAAAATAGGGATACCTAAACTCTCAGAGAAGATTAATCATTTTGCTAATTTTGAAGACACGTTACGCAATTTCAACATTTGAGTATGGTGACAAAATCCCTTGGTGCTACTTCCGTACTTCAGTCACTGTCATGCATTGCGTTGAGTCCCAGGTAAGCTTACAATATATTACAGGCATTACCATTTACATAATCTAGCAGTAAAGTAAGTAAAACAGTGAAGTATAAATAAAGTGATTGTAGACTGAAAACATAACAGTCAAAATTACACTGGTTGGCTGTCTTTACTGTTGGGATCTTTCCATGAACCAGCCAATAGGGGTCCTTGTACGATGGGCGTTACCCATAACAGAATAAGGAACAAAGGCGCCACGAAATTCACGTGGAGACAAACCCTAAAACAGAAAAAGAAAAGATGAAGATCATCAAAATAATCATCTTTCATGGTGTTTTATAATCATATCCGCGACCGCAGTAGGACATTGGGCATAAACCCCAGTGCAAACGGACGCAACATTGTTGGCCAACAGCTCCCAACATTGTTGGATGCTACATGCTGCTTTCGTTTACACACCCTATTGCTAACCTCAGATCAGGCCTAATTTTAGCAGTTCTCGTACATTCTCTCTTACGTCGTCCTTTACAAAACGAAACGAAAATAGAGCCTGATCTCAGGTTACCCTGTTGCACGTTATTGCGTGTTGTTGGGAGTTGTTGCGCAAGGTTTGAAACCTCAAAAACTAACACTTCAAAATTCCAATTCGATCTGGAACGCACGGACACGTTTAAACGAGTTCACATGAACTCCTTTGTGCTTCGTGGGTAAAGAAGCAATTTACAGTTTACAATTTTTTTTACCGGTCAAACTTTTCAGCCAACGACTCCCAACATTTCTTTTGTCCCGTGACCACCGAAGCGTAGCTCAACAATGTTGGATCCGTTTGCAGCGCTTTTTCAACATTGTTGGGGCCACGCACGCTCATTACGCATGGTTTACAAAGACTTATGGGTTGTATCCTTCCCACGATGCACTGCAGGTCCCAACATTGTTTGGAGTTGTTGCATCCGTTTGCACACCGCGGCCTACAGGGACGCAACAACTTCCAACGTTCTTGGGCCAACAATGTTGGGAGTTGTTGCGTCTATTTGCATGTAGCTTAAAGGCATTGTCGGTTCACCGACTGATTTTGCAGTTCTTTAGTAATTGGTATAAACTCGCAGACATCCTGCATACTTCTAGGACTGGAATGTTGTTAGGTGTTTGATTTTGGTAAGTCTGAAATATAGCGATCTGGATACATAATTATAATCCTGTTTCCCTTCACTTGCGATATAGTCTTTTAGGATTAATTTCTTTGCCTCTGTAGGTTTCACCGTGAGTAACTGACAGAACTAAACAACACTGGACTAGAAATGTCGTGACAAACATTCTTTGAGTAATTAGAAAGTCCCCTGTGCTGAACACTCTATTTTCCAGTCCCCCATAACGCACTTTAATTACCCTCACGCCCAAATATTTTTTTGAAAATGTAGTCCTCCCAGGAATATTAAAGGGCAAACTGAGTGTACTTATATGGGGGATTCGAAAATAGAGAGTTCCCAGAGTGAAGGAGGCACTCGCTTCATAAAACTGAGTAAAGACCTAGAAATATAAGTTGAACTTACAGCATAACGCGAGTTTCTCGACAGTAGAAAAGTGAATCCAGGTACATGTTTGCCAAACGCATGCCAGGAAAGCTTAGAAAAGCACCAAGCACAGCAGAGGCCACAGCGAGGAACAGTTTGAACACCCACCTAGGAGTCGGGCCACTGCGGAAGAAAAAATGATTCATTGTGGAAAGATTATCAAAAGAACGCAGTTTTCTAGTTTTCTTCATCAGCGGTTACCAATTGCTATTCTTTAACTGTTTGTGACTTACCAAAGATTCCAGTATCATTTGACTCACCCTTAATGCTTCTGATACACTTTGACTTCAATAGCTCATTGTTTTAAATGTTGTCGACTAGGCTCGATTACAGGCTGCTGTTCGAGAAATGAGGACTGGCCCGGAAAAAGCCGCAGAAAGAAAGCAGTTGTGTATTGTTAACGGTTCAAACAAACCACTCTTTTTTTGGGTGTGTTACAACACTCATTGAGTTTGAATTATGATAAGCTTCTATGAAAGCGATACTGATGACTAACGTGATTAACGTGACTCAGAGAAAAGTCTGAAAAGCCTTGCATATCTACATATATACAGCTTTATTCATCAATGAACGTTTCGCTGTTTCAAAAGTGAAACTTTTTGAAATAAGTTAAAAAATGTCTGCAAGATACTAGACCAACAAATGACCGACAAACGAGGCTGGGGAGTTCTTCTTCACATTCAACTACCGCTCTCTTGGACTTGTTTGCATTCGCATAAACAACACGTACAGTAGGTAGACCAAGGTAATGATACGACAGCATTTAGTTTAAGAGGTATTAAGAATCTTTCGAAGCGAAAAACGCAACAGCTGACGTCATCTGCTCGTGACTACTCCCTGATAATTAGGGACCCAAAGATCCAACGACGAGAACGTCAAAAAAGCAACAGGATTAATGAGCAAAAACAAAATTTCTGCAGGTACATGACGCTTTCTTGTGCATTTCGTTGCCGTCACTGCACGACTACGAAGTTAAAATGCCGGACTTTACGTTTTATGGAGGAAGTAAACAAGTCACGACGAAATTTTCCTTTTCTTTATGAACTTGGGTATTGTTCTTAGGAACTCAGCTCCAGGAGAGTTCGCCTGCATGTGACAAAGTGAATCGAAATAATTGCGATAAATATTGAAAGAACCCGAAATCACTTTTTAAACGACCTTTACTCTCGTTGCGGCCTTCGCCGTCGTCTTTGCTTAACCTCCCCACAATGTCGTCGTCGCCTGAATACACGAAGTGTCTGTTGAGAAGTATAGGGGAAGGTGAAACTTTAGAACTGAATTTGCCAGATTTAAATGAATTGTAAGCCCTGTTTTCCACATGATCGCAACGCCGTTCAGCGACCTTAACGACAGTAGTACAGTGTAGCGATAAAAGATCACAACATCTTTCAATCAATTTTAATTCTTATAAATTTTCCCCTCATCACGTATTGATAACGTTAGAAGAATTGACGTTGATGAATATTAGAAATCTAAGAGTTAAGCGAATTTAAATGTATAAGGCAATTGCTAAACCTGACCTGGATGAAATCCCTTGCTTTTCCATGAACTCTGTAACCTTTTCTGAAAAAGACTCGTAACCTGACATTAAAACAAAACAAGTAAAGATCAGCGGTCAACTTTAATTATTCTGCAGATCATTGGAACAATAAGTTTTAGGCGAGTGAAAACAACTACGCGGCGTGCCTCAGTTGCTTGACGCCCTGGCCTCGGTTGTTTACTTTCGCCTGAAAAACCTACAAAATAGCCGGAAGGGACTATGTTCCCGGAACCCCCTAGTTGTTCAAGGTTCACACTTCCGGCGCGAACGTACGGTTCAAGTCTGCCAGCTCAACTTCAGCATCCGTTACTTCCAAATGCTACCAAAAACCCTAAAAAATGTTGAATAGAATTATATGTTCGAACATTTCTTAGTTAAACTATAATTCTTAACCCCGTTCCAAGGGTTCTACACGGAGCGAGACAGGGACGAGTGGGAGATGGGGACCCCTTGGAACGAAGTTGTATAATCCTGAGGAAATAAATTGTTACGGAAACGACAAAAAAATTTTCTGTAGGGTCCGTTAAAACCATATCAATAACAAAAATATATTTTTTTAGAATAACATTTGTATTAGAAAGCCGAAGGTCATCTCAAGGGGGGGGTGGGGGGTGCGCACCCCTTGCACTCACCCCCTAGATACGCCCCTGCCTCTCATATGCAAGTTCCACTAAATCTGGCATAATGTGTGATCGCTTACGTAAAGTACAACTGCATTTTTTGAAATGAAAATAGATGACTAGATTAAAGGAAAACAAAAAAAAAGACATTTTTGCGACATCAATTGAATAGGTCATTTCCGAATTGCCACAAGCCTCTGTTTCAAAGAGAGGCTAAGTGCGAAGCCATTGATATGAATTTTTTTTTTTCTTATTCTCACGCAAAAAAACTCATTTTCACGAGGAACGTTTTGCACTTACCTTATTTTTCACCTTTACCTTTAATAGTATTTAAACAAGTGGTCGGTTTAAAAGGGTTGTCATTATGTTTTGTCTTTCAGCTTTATAACCTGTGTTTGTATTTAACAATTATTCCACGAGGGCGCGTTGGATATGAGATGATAGATAGCCAACGGGGCGCGTAGCGCCGAGTTGGCTATAATCATCTCATATCCAACAAGCGCGAGTGGAATAATTGTTTAATAAAAAAATAACTAAGATAGTACGAGCGTTCTGATTCGTTTAAAAGCTATGGTTTATTGTGCCAGTAAACTCATAGTTTTACTTAAAGTTATTATGTAAAAGCAAAAGACCACACTTTCTATGGGTTTACCGGCGTGATAACCCACTTGGGATATTGGGAGAACACAAGAAAAGCTTGTAAATCACTCGACTTCGGCTCGTGATTTACCAGCTCTTCTCGTGTTCTCCCAACATCCCGCGTTATCACGCCGGTAAACTCATGGAAAGTGTTGTCTATTACTTAAATAAACAATCATTTACCACTTTATACTTGCTTACCTTTATCAAGACCAAAGTCTAGAAGAGACTCGTCAATCACAAGCACAGCCATGGCAACAACAAAAAAGAACAAACCAAACGTCAAACACATGGAGCGTTCACCAGTGTCATCACCTCTCCAATAAGCTGCTGCCAGTGAAAACAGAACCTTGCTGGTATTAAGTTTAGGGAACAAGATGTAAGGTAAATAAATCAAACTGGAATACTGAAGAGATAAATAAGTTTGGGAAAAGGGAAGGAGAACCTCTAGGTGCACAGATATGCTAAATGGTTCAATATTACATATGTATTTTTGGTTTAATTTTTGTTTTCCCTAATTTTTCAAACTCATTCTCATACATAACCATACCAAAAACAAAAGAAAATAAATCCAGGACCGCAACAAATCCACCTCTCAAAGACGACAACCTCTGACACGTGACCACTTTTTCAGGGCTTGAAAAAAGTTTCGTCCGATAGTCCAGGACCAGTAGATATTTTTGCTAGGAAAGAAGCTTTCAAACCTCACTTTCCCGATGGGCAAGAGTCCAAGCAAGTCATCCTCTAACAAAACTACTTGCTGTATTGTAATAAACTGAATTATGCAACTGAATTGCCAAACAAACCAATAACCATGTCTTGGAACCAAAATATACTGGCAAAATTTCACACCTTCACATTATTACAGTCAACAAAAGTGTGAGCAGCCCTCATCAGCAAACAGCAACCTTGCATGAGCAACCAGTTAGTCACTGCATTTACAGCTGAACCTCTTGTATGTACCCACATCAAGTAATATACCACCAAATCTTACCATTTTAAGGTGGCTCGATACAGTTTTGCAAAGCCAATACCTCCCAAGTTTGAGCATAGACTACGTCGCCATAAACAGAGTTTTGGAAAAATTGCCCCCACAGTTGTATTAGATAAAGAAGAAAATCTTTTATGACCAGGGTTGAAATGACATCGGAGTTGTCATAGCAACGAAATGATGCTATTACCTATTTTACTTACAGAAGTATTTCTCGGCACTGGGAACTGTTCTTCCAAAATCATTCACGGGAGCTTTTTCCTCCAATAGCCGCCTCGATGTTCGTGAAGTTTAAGCGAAATCTGTAAGAGCGTTATCGAGATATTTTGGAAGAAAGATTTTGTGGTTAGAAATACGGTAAAAAATGGATAATCTTGATGTTCGGCTGTTATCTGTAGAAAATGGAGCGCTTTTGACATGCAATTTCACCTCATAGTAGTGTCAATCTTTTTAAAAACGTGTGTGAAAGACCGTGGAGATAGCTCCAGCCGATTGCTAGAAAGAAGGATTTGATTAGTATGTATCGAGGCGCTTTTGTTGGCGGTTTTTGAACATTTTGGTCTACTTTAACAAATTAGCGAATATTTTTTAAACCGCTCGATAGATTTTTTTAAAACATTAAGATTCTTGAGGTTAACGTTCCTTTTATATGACCTTTTAGTTTCAAGATTATTGATATATTGTAAGGCAGTAAAATAAGGGCTACAATGCGCCAATATTTTGGCAGAAATTTTGTGTTTACAAATGTGAGCCTCTCATTATTCAGGGTATTGTCTCCAAGTTTCATAGTTTCGCGCATAACAATAGCTAGCATTTTTGCATATGACAAATGCATTGTTAGTTACTGTTGCTCACGTGAAAATGAAACTTGGAGACAATGCCTTGAATAATGAGATACTTTCACTTGTAATAACGAATCTTCCGATAAAAAAGTAACGAATTGTAGCCGTTATTTTACTGCCTTACAATGTATCAATAATCTTGAAACTAAAAGGTCATATAAAAGAAAGGTTAATCTCAAGAATCTTAATTTAAAAAAAAAATCTATCGAGCGGTTTAAAAATTATTCGCTAATTTGTTAGAGAAGACCAAAATGTTTACAAAACCGCTAACAAGAGCGCTTCAATACATACTAATAAAACCCTTCTTTCTAGCAATCGGCTGCAGCTATCTCCATGATCTTTCACACACGTTTTTAAAAAGATTGAAAATAGTATGAGATGAAATTGCATGTCAAAAGCGCTTGATTTTCTACAGATAACGGCCAAACAATAATATTGTCCATTTTTTACTGTGTTTCTAACCATAAAAACTTCATCCCAAAATATCTCAATAACGCTCTTACAGATTTCGCTTAAACTTCACGAACATTGAGGCCCCTATTGGAGGAAAAAGCTCCCGTGAATGATTTTGGAAGGACAGTTCTCAAAGCCGAGATATACTGCTGCAAGTAAAATAGGTAAAAGCGTCATTTCATTGCTATGACAACTCCAATGACGTTGCAACCCTGATCATAACAAATTTTCATCTTTATCTATTAAATACAACTGTGGGGGCAATTTTTCCAAAACTTTGTTTATGGCGACGTAGCTTATGCTCAAACTTGGGAGGTATTGGCTCTGAAAAACTGTATCGAGCCACCTTAAAGGGACAGGTTCACGGTTCAGTGCATGCTCATTTATCAAAATGCTGCTTTTGAGCCAGGGCATGCTGTATCGTCTATGCAAGCAATATGATCATGTCATCAAAGAACCAAACTGCACACTCCCCTGGCAGTCACTTGCTCTTGATCAACTTAAATATTTGCAAATAGCTGTAAATTAATCAACGATGGAATAAAACCTTCGCGTCAACAACAAATTCAATGTTGGTGGTGTTAGCATAATCCACTAATTTTTTCTTCGATTTTAGTACTCCACTATCTTACCTTGTTACTCTGAAATACACTTCTACTTTGAAATACACTCTGAGATTGCTGAGATACATGTGAGTGGGATTATTAACCAACAGAATTAATAATTATTGGAAAAAAGTAATTTAATTAATGACCATGCACATAACCGTGAACCTGTCCCTTTAATTTTTGGTTGGTTTCATACAGGGAATGGTTTAGCCTATGGACAAAGACCTTTATCAGGGGGATATGTTGAGAAGTCACAAGCAAGCTGCATACAAAAGGAGAAGGAGGTTCAACTTCAGTGGCAAATTTCCAACCCCTAAAAATGTTTTTATTCTAAAATGATGTTTCTTGAACAAAGGATACAGTGAAAAGAAGATGACAAGAAAGTTCCACACCAGAGCCAAATTCAACTCCTGAGTATAGATTTCCGGTAAAAAGAATGCAAAGATCTCCACAAGAACATTGATTACAACTGCACAAAGTGAAAAATCAATGAGCCATTTGTAATCGCTGTAGAGAAACTGCGGGAGCAAGTCAATTTCCTCAATCTGAAATTGAAAAAAATCAACACTATATGGTAACTATATAGATATTTCCAGTCCTTTTTGACAGGACCACACATAGAAAAAATAGCACCACCGATCAGGAAAAAATGCCCAAAAATCTTTAAAGTTGCCAGTTTTGAAAGTGATTTATTTTGACAAAGTCAATCCGCACATTAGCCAATTTCACAGTTCTTTGTATGACTGAAGGGAGAGATTTCTGCACCCATCCGCCCTTCCCAATTTTGAAAAGCTCTTTCTAGCAGTGGTAATGGACATTCAGTAACTGGTACTTTATTAGAGGCTGAATGCTTATTAACTTTTCCTCCCTACAGAATGGGCACTTATTCAACACGTGCACTTATTCGGTTGGACGCTTAATTGAATAAACACGGGATACTTCTTGAAGTGAAATTTGGGTTGAACATGTAAAATCTGAAGAGATCAATCCATCCTATACATGTATTCAAGTGCCACCATCCAATAACAGCTTAGTATAAATGTGTATAGCATAATGATTTATAACATTAAATTATACTGTCTTATTCATCTTGAAATCAGCCCTAATATATAATTCTTCATTATAATAAAATATCAATAATACAGAACATTATTTTACCATGGCCTTATCTAGCTGAACATCAATGTTACAAGGAACTGTAAATGTCTTAAGATCATCACTGTTAATTCCTCCAGGAGCTGCATTTGTTTGCCTCTTTCTATAACACATGTACAAATAAAGAACAAAAATAATAAACCCAACCCCAACTTCTTTTGTTCTGGCATAAATAATGAATCTTATAATTTAAGCTCAACCAGAGAAACTCGTCCCTATCTATTTACAGGAGGGTAAAAACCCTACAACAAAATTAATCAGAAATTCTATTTGAATAAGCTGCTGCAGATATCAAGCTAAAGGTGAATTTCCCAAATAAAAAACTTAAAATTATGCAAAATCCAAAGTTTGTTTTCTTCATTCTCCAGGAACTACTAAGCGAAATTAGCTGGGTTTTGGCAGGAAGATTTGTCAATAATGTAGCCAAAAAATGCTGTATCACTGATTCTCACACCAATTCTAATAGTACACTTGGTAATGAGAGTTGTGTAGCATGATATGATTCTCATTGCACAGGAAATTGGATGTGACTGGTATAAACTTACTCAATAGTTTCGTATGTTGCTGTAGCTAGACTACAGGCAGTTCAGAATGCTGCAGCTCGTGTTGTCACACTAACACCGAAGCATGTTCATATAACTCCTATTTTAATTAATCTTCATTGGTTACCAGTTAAGTTTAGAATAACTTTTAAAGTCCTTTTATTGGTATACAAGGCCCTTCATGGCCTTGCACCTTCTTATATTTCTGACCTTTTGAATTTTAAAACATACTCTAGGTCATTGCGTTCTTCATGTAAAGAATATTTAGTGGTTCCAAGAAGCAGATTGAAAACATATGGAGACAGAGCTTTCTCTATTGCAGGACCTAAATTGTGGAACGATTTACCTCTAGAGATTAGGAAATGTGCTTCAGTGGCAACTTTTAAGAAATCCCTTAAAACTTTTTTATTTAAGTTAGCATATAGGTTATGAGATTCCTTTTGTTTTAAGATGTTTTTGATTTATATAGTAGATAACTTAGGCTATATTTGAATTGTATTGTATATTGTAGATATTTTATAATTTAGATTTTTTTTTTTTTTTATATATATTCTTTTTTGTAATTAGGTAGCGCTTTGGACAATTATTGGATTTTAGCGCTATATAAATAAAATTATTATTATTATTATTACCTAGTGAAAGTGAATTCACAAACCTTGAATCTGCAGATGTGGCCTTCCTGCCTTTACCTTTGGTTGCATGGCCAGTAGCATTCTTGCCAATCAGTGACTTAAGCTCGTCATCAGTTGGATGGAGGTACCTTACAAGACTTTTACAGACATGACAAATGAGATTAGTCTCAGAGGAAATGACGATATGAGCCCTAATACACACAAGTCTGAAAGAAATCGCTTTTTAAATGAAAAAGTTTCAGAAAATGAAGAAAAGAAAACATCAGTCTACAAAAGTTATTACATCCGTTTTTGCTTAAATATAATACATCTAATAATTAATGATCTCATCACTAACTGATTGTTACAGAGAATCCATCTTGCTAAGGAAATGTAGGGTGAGAACTTTTGAAGCATGGTTGCCATCACAACACTCAACACAAACTGCACTCCAAACAGTGCCTGCAAATGTCAAAGTATAGCAAAATGAATTGACTGAATATTTGTTCATTTTAAAACAAAAAGTGACAACTATTTTTAACTTGGTGCAAAGCATGCCTGGGAAAAAGCCTGGACCTAATAGCTGCAGTGTTTGAAAGAAAAAAAATAATAAAGGACTAAGTTACACTCTATTTTTTCTTTTCATTAGCACAAACAGAAATTAAACGTTATCTGTCTGGAATAAAAGTTTTTGTGCTTTCATGGAGATCATTAGAAAAGTCGTGCCTCATCAAAGTAAACAGAGTCTCCATTTCCAAAAGCATTGCCTGCCTCAGAGAAAGAAGACTTTGCTTACAGGGAACACTCCTCCATTTTTTCAAGTTTTTTTATTTCTGCAGTTCACATTATCTTCATTCTATTGTACAAGAATAAAATTAAATAAAGGAAACTCTTTTAAGAACACTTAAAACTGCAGAGCACCCAACCATGTAATAACCAAGACCTAGAAAGGTGGTTACATAGCTACGCGGCTACCCAGCTGCCAAGCTATGCTGCTGCACGATTATGTGGCTTCACAGCTACATTTCCAAGTGGATATGCTGCATTAAGCTTTATGCAGATCTAACATTCTCTCTGTCACTTGTCACATGTAAGTTACAAGGCAGAGGTGTGTTTTAGCAACACCCTTATCACACATTTTCTACACAGTCAACCCCCCAATAAGCGACCACCCAAAATGCAAAGACTGAGAGGTTGCTTATGGACGGTGGACATTTACAATAATCGAACCACAGTGGGCCTTTTCCGAGGAGAGGTCCAGGCACATCTACTTTTTGGAAGATAATTTATTGCATGCAATGTCTAAGTTATGACATGTGTAGTTCCATGTTGTCACTTAATTTCTTCATATATTCTTAGTAGCATAGAGCATACAGCGGAAGTAAAGATCAGAGAATGCATCAAGTAGTTGCTTACAAGAGGTTAAAAACAATGGAATTAATCATTAACCATCAGACCCAAAAAGTGGTTACAGTTCTTTACAGGAGGTGGTCGTTTACTAGAGGTTCCAACTGTAAGGCTTAATTTCACTGGGAAAATTTGAGGGTTTTGGATTGGTGGTCTTTTATATGGGATTATTGTGTTCACAGTTTAAAAAAGTTTTGAGGCCCAAAGAGGCTGTGAAAAGCGTTTTTCTCCACAAATAATATCTATAGTTAAAAATTATGGGGAGAAGCATGCCCTTAAACCCACTAGAATGATGGGTCGTCTTCTTAAAATCTTAAAAGAATTTTTTTTCCTTTTATTCTTTTTGTACTGAATACGTCGTGTACAGGGAAGGGAAGATTTGTATCTTTTAAATGGAAATGGCCTCCATGAAGTGTGCCTTAGGTTTGGGTTCGGCTGGGTTCTTACATCGGACATTGTAAAACTTAAATTAAAATTGGAAACTATAATTCACTTTGACTGTGCCTTCCCTTTTATGTGCATGAAAAAAGCATGTTCTTCGGTCACGCTACCCCATACTACTAATAAAACCCGCAATTTCGAACTTTATTGTCCAAAATATCACTATCCACTTTAGAGAGAAATTCCTTTCTCGTAGAAAAAAAAAAAGTTACTGTATAACAAGACTTACCATGACTTTTCTCCGTTTAACCTGTAAGATTTTCTTTGTTTTCACTTGATATTCAAGGCCCCGAAAGCCGCCATGATGAATTAGCAGCCAGGCCTTCTGCCTGAGAAAAACTGGGAACGAAGAGAACTGGCCCTAAACTGACGCGCGGTGGTCCATGGGTAAAACAAAGAAAATTGTCGTCACGTGACCTACGATTCTTGTCCGAGAAAGAAGCTACGCAGGCTGGGGGGGAACTCGCAAACCCATGTGCGTTTTTTCGCATTGACTATTTTCCAATTGCCCATAATACACTCTGTTTGCCCCCCAAATTTTGCATAACTTATTGTCTTAAAATGCTCTTGGGAAAATGCAATACTCCCAGGAGCATTTAAAAACAATGGTTTATGCAGAATTTGGGGGGCAAACAGAGTGTATTATGGGCAATTGGAAAATAGAGAATA